AGCAAACCTTTTCTCGCCGGTGTGGGTGCGCAGATGTCTCTGGAGCTCGTCGGACCGAGTGAACCTTTTGCCACAGAAAAGCCAGTTGCAGACAAAAGGCCGCTCGCCGGTGTGCCATCTCAAATGCGCTTTGAGGTGAGACGTCTTTCCGTACACTTTACCGCAGCCGGGAATGTGGCAGCTGTGGAGTCCCTTTCTCCGCAGGCTGGCCCCGGCGGGTCCCAGCCGCTCAGCCTCCTGGCAGTTCGGGCAGTCGCATGTTGCTCTGCCAGAGTACCTCCTGGACGACCTCGAGGAGCTACTTATTCCTGAACTGCCCCCTGAAATCATGGCGTTGGCGGCAGAAGCGTCTGTGTAAGAGGGGATGACTGTTTTGAAACCGTCCTGCGTTAACAGGTGCTGGCTGGTGGACAGTAGGTGAGACGCAGAGGGGCTGATTCCAGTGGAGCTAAACGCCGAGTGGGTCAGCGAGGAGAAGTCCGGGTTGTAGCCACTGAGCTGGGAGTGGATAGCCTGCGGGGTGCCGGAGTGCAGAGAGGTCTGAAGGGTGCTCGCGGGGTTCTGGACATCGAGCCACGACCCGGGATTTGTGTGAACGTCCCACCACGAGGACGCACCATTGGTAACGTCACCGGAGATGGTTGAGTGGAACCCCGACTTGTACCACGACTCGTAGGGGTGCGCCATCCCCACGCGCGGGTACAGAGTCTCTGCTGATGTGTGGACTTTGGAGATAAAAGCTGACTGTCCAGATTCCTGGGTCGTGACGCTGGCGGAGTTGGAAAACAGACCGCTGTACTCTGTGGAAAACGCAGACGAGGTCGGGGAGGTGGAGGCTAAGCAAAAGGCGCTGTTGCTCGTGCCACTGGTCTGTGTTAGTCCTGTCGAAGCGCGGCTCGTCGCTACCGTGAAACCGGGCAGACTGGATCCCAAGTTGCAGCTGGAGGAGGATCTTTTCCACGGGTGAAATCCACCTTTCGAGAAAGCGCTGGAGTCAGGTAAAGTTGTAAGAGGACTGGTGTTGCCAATTTTGTTACAAGTTGCAGCCAGCATCGCTAGAGGTGTAGTTCCAAACCGTGGTTCTTCCTGGGTGGAAAAAAACAAGAAACACACAAACACACAGACACACACACATGGGCTTAGAACAGAGAATAACAAACGATAAAATGAGGAAAAATCATTTCGCTTGGCTTGGAGAGCACTCAGCATACATGACTAAAATTAATTAAATACGACAAAATTTCATAACTTTACTGAAACGTCTTTGGAAGCGAATGAACCCGAGATTTTCTTCTTAAATGTGTGCATGTATACAGAGTGTGTAACATATAAGCAAAGCAAGGTAAGAAATAAAAGTGTTCATCGAGTTTCTAAACATATTAAGAAAATCTTTAAACGACTGCAAAGTTTCATCTCCATGTTTTATACGTTTTGTCCAAGATTAAAAGTTTTAATTGTAGTAACTGAGAAAATTATAAATTCTAGCCGTGGAAAACACGAGTGTTTTGAAAAGCAACAAACACATCCCGCCGCACAGCAAAGTAAGCGGCGACAACTTTACGCGCAACTTCTGTGCTTGGACACAAAGTCAGACTCACCCCAAGTATAGACGTAGCCATATCCAGGGTCTGTGCTGTGATGAGAGGGTTCGCGATTTCAGTGCTGTATGGCTCCAATTTGTGTCAGATTTACCGTGTTGACTCAGGTCACACGGTTTCTCTCTTGGCTCGCAGCTCCCAACACTACCTAGTTGTAGCGAGCGTGTTCTTTGAAGTACAGCTGGCGAGGACGCGCAGCCAATCTGATAGCTGCATTCATGGCCGGGGTTTCAAGTCGGCCAATGAGAGAGCCGACCACAGACAGAAACACCAAAAACCCCGCCGTCAATCATCTGTTTGTGCAGCCTCCGGCCAGACTGTCATACAAGACACGATTTGGTGTTTTTTCTTTTTTTTTAAATGCATACAGTTATTTTTATGTATTCTCACACGAAGGCTCAATGTCTCCTTTCATTGCAGAATTGAGTTTTTTAACACGTCAGTTCTCCAAGAGGTAAGCGTTTCACTAATTCTCTAAGGCTTTTGTAGATTGCGGCTTCTAAGGTGCAGCTCCAGGTTTTCCCTTCTGATTTTTTTTTTAAATATTCAGATCATGCGCAACACGTCATTGAGAAATTGTTGATTTAAGCGCAGACTGTATGCTTGTGAAAGATAACTCGGAGATGGCTTTATCAGAGCGGTCTGCAGAAGTGCAAGGGCAAGTGCAAGCTGCTGCGTGTTAGGCACGGTGGGAAACGACTGGGGTTTTAAAGTGGTTGTGTTTATATTGGGAAATCAGAGACGGATTAAAGTTTAGCCAAGAAGTCCAGAAACAGGCCTGACAGCGCAGATCTCCACTTCCCCGAGCGCAGTTAGATTATTTACGAGCCTGCTGCATTCGAGTGACTTTATAGGTGAAGGAAAGCAGATTCATCCAAGACTCACAATTAATCAGTTAACTTTTTTTTCCAGCCAGCATCTCCACTTATTTGTGCCTATGCTCGTGTTTGCGCGCGCCAGTGCCACACGAGTACCTCCCTGCCCACTTGTTGGGGGGTGGAGGGACGCAGGTGAGGGGTTAATTAAAAATGACAGCTCACCTGATAAGTGAAAGCAGTAGATCTGTTTTAAAAGACAAGTATTTTATAGTCGGGGGGGGAGAAGTTTCAGTATCCAGGAGATTCCTGCTGTAAGGCCGCCAGTCATCTCCATTTAACCGATTTATTAACGCGATGTCTTCATTGTAGCTGAGAAATATTTTTTTTTAACACCAGCCCAATCCCACATTTAATTAAATTGCGGACAATAAAGAGGATGCCGCGTTTCGCCAGTTTCTTCTTCTTCTTTTTATTATTATTATTCTCCTTTCTCTCAACTCGAGACTTTTATTTTTCTCCCTTTGAATATAACAATTCAATAAAGCCGCATATTTCATAGCTTGTTAAAAACGCTCAGGGATAATGGCATAATGTAAAATTGACCTGCTCTGATGTGAATCATCATCCTTTTAAAAGTTAAAGCAATTTTCCAGAGAAAGGCTTGACCGAAAGATGTGCATTACTGTATTCAAAACGCGCAAATAATGCTCTATTATAGAGTGTGAATGCTGCCAGTAAACACAGGCGCAATTTGTTCAAATACTCTTTTTTTTTTTTTTGCTTTAAAGCCCCACCTTTAGAAGGGTGAATAAAAATCAGTCTCATCAAACAGGCTACTTGGCGCTGCCAAGAAAATGGAATCATTTTTTGCAATCATGACAATTTGGCAGAGTGCTGTTAACAGTATTAAGCGTTTATTCTACATAAGCACAGTTTATTGTTGCTAAAGAAGTTAAATGAGTCTGAGGATTAAATGAAATTTAATGTAAGCGTTTATTATTATTTTTCCTGCATGAAAAATATCTTCACCCTGCAATTAATTTCAGATTACCATTATTTCTTAGTTTTGTTTACTATAATGTTTGTAAGGAATTATATAGTTAAAATGAAATCTGCTATTGTTGTTCTTATATTAATATTTCTTCTTCTTTATAATAATAATAATGTATTACTATTATAATTATTATGATGAGCAATGTGACCGTTCACGTTGCTCCTAACAAAGAAACGTGTGTAGGAATCACAAGACCGTTGTGCACTGATAAATGTTACCCACCTATATTTTTTATTTAAATGTACTAGTACAGAAATGTTTGTGTTAGTTCCATTAACCCAGGCTGATAAAATATGGGTGTTTTTTTCATAGCATGTTTATTTGGGACAAGAGGGGAGAACATGATCTTTCCTTGTCATTCAAAGGAAAATTCTGAGTTGAATCTGTAATTCTGGACTCCATTCGTGAGCACTTCTCTGTGGCAATTAGGAGCCTATTACAAGCCATTAGATTGATCAATGTACCTTAAACAATGGGAATGATTTATTTGGTCGAACAAAACGCTCTGCATCTATTGTGATGAGTCTAAGTGGGGGTGCATCCATCAACAAAAGATAAATGATTAATTCAGACCTATTCATTTAAATTCTTTCTACAAAGCCAGCCTCACTTGCCTCAAATCCAGATTATTAGAGCCTCATTTTCTGCATGTTAAACTAGACAGGCTGCTGGATGGGGCAATGGTTTTTGGTTGTGCCCCTGTGTGCTTTAATTTGTATTTCTGCAGCGGGAAGTTTATTTGAGGATGTTTAACTAATTGTTGTAATTTCGTGTGCTCATGTGGCTACACCTGTTTCTCTCGAAAGGGGGTTGAAGTGTAAACTGTGAGTGAAAAGGATGTTATACTTTACTTCTGTGGTGCTGAAGCTGTACATTTTTTTATCTGGCAAGTCCACTTGGATCACAATATCAGAGGAAGCCCAGTTAATAGAAAATAAATGGGTACAAATATGTTAATTTTATCTTCTTTTTTTTTTGTTATTTTATGGCTTTTTGGTAAAATAAATGTATAGATAACGTGTTATATATTTTGCATGGATTTCAGTTGTGTGTTTTCCATGAATTCTTATTGTTATATTAGTGACAACTAAAGAGAGACCGCAGTCAGAAAATAGATGGCATAAACTGAAGAGCATTGGGAAATTAACCACTTGACAATCAGCTTTTATTTCCATAGGAAGGTAACAAGCTATAAAACAAGGGAACAAGACAAATTTGCACAAACCTTTGAGCACTGAGACCCAACTTGTGGAAGCCCCAAGTTAGACGAGCACCAAGACTGGCGATGGAAATGTTCATTAGAAAAAGAAGAAAAATAAAATCAGACAATACAGTCAAGCCTCTGAGAAGGAAAAACTCTGCTTTTAGTAGCCACTTTTCTTCAGCACTGTAGTGCTGATCTTATAGGAGCTCATCGACCTGCATCAATATTATCGACAGCTAAATTTGGAGGTGCAGGTCAGCTCGCCAGCTTACAGTGTCAACTTTCATTTCCAGGGGCTGCAGGTTCTATTTTGAGCGCAGCGAGCGATCTGCTCAAAGTGCAGTCGACTGGTTGCATTTGAGGACTTAGCTTAGCCCATTTTCCTTCAATGAATGAGCTTTTCTTATAGCTGTAGTGGAATTCAGCGGAATCTTATAGTGTGAGAAATGGCTCCAAAAAAGGTGTGTTTTGTTAAGGAACAGATTTGTTTAAAAAAAGGAAAAAACTATAGCATACCCTGTAGATTATGCAATGACAAGTGCTTTTCTGACTGCGTGCATTTCCACATTGTCTTGATTAGGGCAAGGGAGCTGATGCACCAAAGTCACCACCATTGATTGGAAGGTTTGGCACCTCGCTGAAAATAGGGATTGTTGGCCTGCCCAATGTTGGGTGAGTAAAACCTTATTTATACAGACAGGATGGGCTTCTCACTACATTTCATGTGCCCCATGTCTACTGTTGAACTGCACCGACCTGCTGTATGTAAGACAAGATGTAAGCTGCTGCATGACAAGTGCAGACAACTTCTACCTTTATTTCATTGTTCCATGAGAGTTTCTCCATGTTACACCTTTTGCATGCCTTGCTACATGGTGATAAAAATAAATAAATAAATGGCACAATTTTAAATCTGCATGCCAGAAAGAGCCGCTCCTTGGATAACTGTGGGAAACGTTTCTGTGTTCCTGAATAACCACAACAATGTTTGAAAAGCTCTTAAATTCCTCGAGCCACATGTGTCCCTACTAGCAGGGCTCAAACTCCCTAAGAGGTTTTCAAACCAGGTCTTCCCTTGCATGCATCTTAACCCTCTCTCTCAGCTACCCATCCTTTCACAAAGGTTTCAGATGTTACCGTTGTTTCCTTTTTTGAATGTTACAGCAGAAAAGTGTCATAAGGGTAGACCTGGGGCGTCAAGCATCTGCAGCTCATAAAAACCCACAGTGATAAAAAATAAAATAAATAAAGGGTGAAGTTTGCATGCCTTTTGTTTCCTCAATGTCTGGATTTATGAATGCTGAATATTACTATTAAATCAGTGGAAAAAGTAGAAAAAAATAAAAGAGCAACACCTTACATGTGGGAGCGTGCTGCATTTGAACTGAATGACAGCATGCAAAAAAAAAACAAAAACCCTGCATTCCTCTTACTGTCTACTATTGTTTCTGTCCTTTTAATGAATGAGGGACTGGGGTTCTTGATTGGTTTTGAAAGCTCACTTATCGCTCTGCAAAGCCCATTGCTGGTCAAAGCCCAGTGTACATCTCAGGCAGTCTGTGAGTCAAAAGGCTGACATCACGTTTCCATGTCACACCTGGTCAGACAAATCTTTTTTGTCAGCATCTACTACATCTAAGACCTTCAGCAACATCCGTGACATAGAGTAATAACAGTGCAGACCCCACCATGACTTCCCTGTAGGCCCCTTTGAGTTACAGGAAGGGCTACGGTGATACATCATGTTCTTTTTCAGCTGTCATGTTCTCATCACTTTGCCCCTCCGTGAAACTTTTTTTTTTTCAGTAATTTTCAACAGAACAGTTCTTTTTTCGAGCAGTTTGGAAAACCAATGGCTTTTGGAAGGACATTGGAAACATTGTCCATGCTCTGTATTGTAATTAGTCAAATGAAAGTTTGTCTTACTGTTTTAGTTAAACTGTGGACAAGCTGGATTTCTTCTTCTGTTCTTTTCTTCTTCTTTTTTTTTTTAGCAGACACTTATTACTAGAGGGAGGAGATATTTATACAAAGCCAGTTTTCTGCAGCCATTTGTTCACATGTGGTGTGTATTGGTAGCTGTTTTGAAGATTATTGCACACCATCTCATCATCTCTCTAGTGCCCAATGTTTTCATTTCTTACCCCAGCAAAACCACAATGTCTTCCTGGGTTAAGAAGTAGAACTCACTGAGGTTGCGGCCTGCCATACCACGTTTATGTCAAAGTACAACTTGTCAACCCTCCTATGGTTTCTTCCTGAATGAACTATGTTCAGATGCCAGCCAGCTGTTAGTTGGGCGTAACTGACCACTCTTCACACATGGGAAACTCGAGAGTGTGATTCAGCCAGCCTTTCAGCTATTCCTACACTTAGACCACAGCACATGCTCACTGTGTTTACTGCCATTCTCCTGCTCATAGGCTGGAAAAAAGTTTATTCTTGTCTGTTAAGGCTTAGAGAAACACACTATATGGTCTGCATAAAATCTCCTTCACTTCTCTTATGCTACCAATACACAGTATCTACCTTTTGCCTTATTCCGCAGCTCCATTTGACTTAGAAGGCAATGTAAAAACAAGACAATAACTGAATAATAACCTCAGATTGGTATGCCTTATATAAGCTATGCATTTTCAGCTGTTTTTATATAGTGAGTGGAGAAATTTGTCCAACTGTGTCATTATGACAATGAATAAGACCGTTTGCATGATGCTAGCCAAGATTATCAAGATTAAAAAGGCATTCAGACAGAAGAAGTGACCAGTAGACTATCATGAGAATCCTAACTTCTGATATGACTTGTTAAAACAAGCATCCATTGCTCAAAGCATGTCCTTGATATACACCAAGTTACATGTTTGCGCCAATCAAGGTGGAACCTCCCTGCAAAAGAAAAAAAAAGTTAGTATGTCACCATGTGCATGTGCTTTTGTCTCCCCTTCTGGCAGTGAAGAAATTACAGAAACACTGTTGGTGCCTGCTTGTCATGTTAGTTATATTCCTTTTAAATTTGAATCCTTCTTCCATCAGAAACTTTTCCTGGATACTTGCTAGATTTCCCCCCCACAGTCCTAGTTAGTGTACCCTACCTTATCTCCATTGTTCCATTTCCACCACTTGTTGGTTGGCTCAGCGATGTCTAGGAAACAGTTTATTTAAAGGAAAACAGAAGTGTATGAAACATCTTTTTATGTTATATAAACACTGAACCTATGGCGCCTGATGCACCGCCTTTTGACACTTCTGACACCACCTGCCAAGCGAGAGAAAACATACCTCAAAGCCCATCACACTACAGTTGGCATCACTTCAAGGAAACATAGCATTCAACCTGGAAAATGAGTTCCAGGTTTAAAACTCTAATATACTGTGAATTACCAGGATCCTTACCTTGCGCTGATGGGCTTCACCAGCATTGTTGGACTAAAATCGAACTTGAATGAAAATGAAATTTAGATGTGAAAGTTGCAAACTGTAGCTTTGACTTTATATTTACCAGATGATAAACATCCCTTAATATCCTTGTTCAAGTTCACATTTGGGCATTTTTTAATTTGACCACCAGTGACACATGCTATCTTTATTAAAAGATGTCTCATAATAACAATCCAGCGAGCAGCGAGAATCCTAGCCTATGCTAATCATGAGATGTTTACCTTTAGCTCTGTAGCAGAGCTGTTTAACACATTTGCTTGAGTTACTGCACTTTAAATGTAAGTGTTAGTCTTTCATTAAAAAGATTGATTGATTTCATAGCTCCAAATCTTGACTTCCTAGTTTCCATAACCCACCAGCTGAAAAAACACCCAAACCCTGGCTGCAAACTACTAATCTTCTTTTTGTTTTTTCTTTTACTTACTGTCACATCACCCTCAGATTTGCACTGCAGCAAGTGTGTGCATTGCTGTGCTGTTCTCTATATTAAGCATTAAAGTCTACACCTGAGAGATGTTTTAGTGTTACTTTTCTTTTTTACCCAAGGTGACCCGGGAAAAGCTTCAAGTATGTTAGAAAATCAATCTAGCTTTATATAAGGAATTAATACATGCACTTTGGCAGTCTCAAGCAATTTCATGCCTATAGGACTTAACAAACAATAATTTCAATGTGAAGCACTGAGTGAGGGGATAAAGATGGAAAGTCCTGGATTATAGGTAACTGCCATGCCATCATTACTCTTAGACACTCACCATTGTCTGTAGATTTTGAAGTACACTCGAGCTGCTTGTGCCATAGAAAATAAATCTCTGTGTGATCACAACATGAGGCTGCATTTTGTGAGTCCTGTTCAACAGCCAGTCGAATCCATTTACAACAGATCTATTATGGGATTATCTAACCTTGTAATTGACACAGAATTTTACATTCAAGAGCTCAAATATTCAGCCTGTTAGCACAACCTTTTCTGCCTCATGTGCAGATTAAAAAACAACAACTTCATTTTGCATAAATAACTGACATGTTTTAGGATCATGCTATTGAACTGCCAGACCCTACACAGCAGCACTTTTAGATGCCTTGACCTCACTGCTGTTTTTATTTTCAGTAAGTCAACCTTTTTCAACGTGCTGACAAAGAGTCAGGCTGCGGCTGAAAATTTCCCCTTCTGCACCATTGACCCAAATGAAAGCAGAGTGCCCATTCCAGATGAACGCTATGATTTCCTCTGCCAATTCCATAAACCTGCCAGGTATGAGGTCTCATCGTTCCCGTATTATTCACACTTCAGATCTGTAGTCTCTGACAGTCCCCTTGCTATAGGTATGAGAAAACATATACCAATGTTGTTGACATGTAGCTGTGAGCTTTTAGATTGCTTCTCTGCTTCTTTCAAAGAAGAGCCAAAGCACCTTTCATCACCTGGTTATCATACATACTCATGGAAACTGCTTAAGCAGGTTCAATTCAGATTTCCTGCACTATGTTGTATATTAGATATATCGTAGCCATATGCATAGATGACACTTTTTATTACTAATTATCCCTCTAACCACACAATTAAACCTCCCCACCTCTCACAAGGTCACGCAAATGATATTTTGCATGTTTCTTATTTAAAGAATATAATTTAAAAACAACCATAAGCATTTTGAATTGATTCTGAAAATTATTACCTGAGCATCTAAAAGCCTCATATATGTTATTCTTAAGTGCCATAGACCTGCAGTGTTGTTCAGATTATAACAAACACATCAGTAAGCCATTCTGCTGTCATAACCTTCCAATCAACCAAATACCATTTATTAATTATGTCTTATATTTGGTCTTGTCTTAGTACTACTTTAAGTGTCTATTGGCAGTGAACATCGGACTACCATACCTTTAATAAGCTGTCATTAATACGCGTGTGTGATCCTTAAAATGAATCTGTTGTCACTTTTATATTAATGTCATTTACAGTACAGTGCAAAGGTCTTGGGCCACCCCTCATTTCTTTATCTTTTGTTATAAAAATGAGAAATAGGTGCAAATGCAGCATATAAGATAAAAACAGAGTTTATGTTACTCTAATGAGCTTGAAAGTCAATATTTGGTATGGCCAGCTTTATTCTTCTGCACAGCTTTCTTGTAATTTCTTTAAGTACTGTTCCAGGCTTCTTGAAGATTCAAATCTCCTCTTTGGATATTGGCTGTGTTTTGTTGTGTTTTCACACACTGCTTCAATAATGTTGAGGTCCGTGGTCTGTGGAGGCCAATCTATGACGGTGTGTTTTTCTATCACAGAGCCTCCACCGTGTTTGGTACTGCTGAATATGTACCTCAACAATTTCTCCCTTTCTTATAAGTGGCTTCTTGATAGCCTTTCCTCTGAAACCATTTCTGATGAGGCTTCTTTGGATAGTAGATAGATTAACTAACAGAGTAAACATGGTATAGGTTAACTATACCATGTTTCCCCACTAATATCTCTTTAAGAACCACCTTATTAGTACAGAAAATAATATTTTATGCATGTAAAACTTTGTTCTCCTTGGAATAATTTTTAGAAATTGGAATAAATTGCTTAGTTTTGGAAGTTTTTGAGTAACAAAATGCCTAAAGATTCCATTTAAAACTGGTTATTTGCTGTTGTCTGTAATGAATGAGCACAACACTACTTCCTCCCTTGAGTCAGATGCTTTTTTATGTTTGAATGAATAATAGTGTCAGGTGGCTTTATAAACAAAAAAAAAAAAAAATCATTTCTCTCAAAAGGGTCAGATATATAGTCTGGACTGAAAATGAGTGAAAAGCAGCCAAAAACCTTTAGAAAGTGAAGAACTATGACTCAAGTCAACTGTAACAAAAAATAGAAGAAAGTCTGACTCGTTTGAGGCAACACGTGAAAAATCAGGGGTGGCTCAAGACTTTAGCACAGCACTGTAAAAAATTAATAAAGTAAAATATAGAAAAATAGTTTACTCTTACTCTGAAATGTGGGTAGATCCTGCTTTTTAGTGACTTGTGACTTGAATAACTGAATAACTAATTGTCATTGTAACATTATTATAATCTGATACTTTGTCTGCCTCGTACTACACCATCAGCTTTCAAATTTCACAGCACTTTATATTATATTGTAGTAGAAAACAGCAACACATCAACCAGGACACCCACCCACGAGTTCACTGTGATCCCTTAACCTGAGTGTACTTCATATTGAATTGTATTGGACTGAAGCACAAAAATATGTTGTTTCCATTTTCATCTGAATTATCTGACTGTTTCCTTTTTTTTCTCCTTTATTTATTTTATTGCTTCTTTGGTTGCAGCAAAATCCCAGCTTTTCTTAATGTTGTTGACATTGCTGGTCTGGTGAAAGGTGCTCATGCTGGCCAAGGCCTGGGAAATGCCTTCCTGTCCCACATCAACGCCTGTGATGGCATCTTCCACATGACACGTGAGTATATATGTGCATATACATATAAATATATTTGGGATTTCGTCATTAGGAAATCATGAAATGCTTAATATATAATATTTCATAGTAGTGATAAAACAGTTGCACGGACAACATTTGATAATACCAGGACTCCAAAACCAGACATCTGAAAGCAGCAGCCGCAGTTTTAGTGGAGTTTTGCTAGCAGGGCATCTTGTGTGGTTGGTGCCAAGATGAACATACCAGTCAGAATTAATGAAGTCAGGCCAAACCTCACATTCCTACTGGGAGGCTCCCTCAATGAGAATCACTGTAGTGGGGAGTGCCTGGTTTCGACTTCAGACAATCAGTAGCATATTCTGAGGGCTGGAAACATCACAGGACTGTTGAGAAGGAGCGCTGCTTATTATTGTAACATGATCCCTAATGCCACTTTTGATTAGGTTTGGTTACAGAAGAGGTAAGTAAGTTATTAATAAATAAAATCTATGAAATTTTGTCCTTTCTTTGTTTGTTAAAAAAAAAAACCCAGTAAATCTATTCTAATCTATTGTCACCTATATCTAATGTTACTAATGATGTTGTTTATTTGCTATGATTCTAAATGCTGCCTGCTGCTACTGTGAAAGTGCAAATGTAATTATCTCATCAAATTATTCCCAGTCTGGCCCTCAGCGAGACAGCCTTCAAACCACTTTCTAAGTCTTCCCCTGCCTCCAGTTCTTCTGTGTCTCTGACATGGTCTTTGTCTTAGACAATTAAAGTGTTACACGCTAGAATAATTCAAATTACAGCAACTGAAATGAATGCAGAGGCCCCATTTAAAAATAGCTGAATTTGTTTGCTGATTGTATGCTGTTATTGACTTTCCCACTGTGTGAAAGGAGCTCTGATTAAAGTCGGCTGTGACAGGCACAGAGCAGACGGACAGAAAGGGTTAAGATTAAGGCCATTTTTCTTTATTGTTCCTAGTTGTCTCTGTGTATCACTGGCAAACATATTACTTCTGTTTCAGTGCAGTTTTCAAACAGCATTGCTGCATGGTGACTCTGTAGTATATGAGATGTGGAGCTAGCAGACCACCTGCTGTAACTTAGTAATGATTTACAAAATGGATGAGACGTGTCAGGTAAGGTTAACTTTTGTCAGCTCAGTTTTTATGGACTTTTTCTGGAATCACAGGCATATTATCCTTTTTTTTTCCTCTTACAATAAATCTGTTGGTCTGCTACTGATGAACTCACCCTTTGGTTTCTTTTATATATATGTATTTCTTTTATATTTAGCAAATCAAATGAAAAAGACAGAGAATTAATTCTGCTCCCAAGGACTCTTTTGGATATTCCTCCATGCCACTTACTGCAGCTGCTGTAAGAGACACATCACTGAACCACACCATTGTAATCATGGACATATTACTTTATTATGCAAAAAAATCCATACTAGTCTATTTACAAACAACCTTATGCACTGATATAAAGATAATATAGATGACAGATAATCACTTTTATCATCTTAGAAAGTAGTTCGTTCCACATGCGTGTATATTCAGTTCTGTTTACACCTCTTCACAAGTTTTTGGAGTTCTTACCACAACTTGCTGATTTTGGGCTGAATTTCTTTGAACTAACTGCAGTTTGTTCAGTACAGTGAATATTAAAACATTACTAACTCCCAAAATGAAAGTATCAGATGTACAAGGTATTGAAAAGAAAAGATACAGACAGCACTGAAAAGAGATACTGACAGAGACGACAGTAATCAACAGATGATAATGCAATCCAATCATCTGATATCGAGGCACTGATCACCACAAACAGAACTACAAGAAGCTTGAGGGTTCAGCTGCAGTCAGTGCTCTGCAGTGCCAACTGAGGCAAAGTGTAGATGAAGCAGTGGATGTTTTGGAGCCAATGCTGCAGGAGCTAAAAGATGGGGAAGGCTAAAATGGCCTGTGTATGTTATAGCTACTACAGTTTCCCAATATAGCTGAGGGCTAGATTGTTGAACACTTTTCTTGGTGAAAACATAAACTGGCAGCAGAACTGAGGATGCAGCTAATGTTTACGGTGCAAGCTGCTGTGTGTTCATGAGCATGCTAAGTGGCCACAGGCAAATAAGCTAAAATAGGACTGTTTCATTTTTAATAAACAATATGGCATATCCTGGTAAAACTGTAGTACTTAGCAAATGTTACACAAACAAGTTTAAATAGTGCTTTTATTGGAGATTGTTTTCATGTCCGTTCAGGAGTCATTTATTTATTCATGTAGTGTTTAGCAGAGCTAAAGTGGTGTCACTCAATGCATAGCTGTGACTCATAGGTTAAATCAGACACTCTGCTATCTACACTCACTGACCGCTTTGTTCAAATGCTCGTTAATGGCAATATCTAATCATCCAATGACATGGCAGCAGTGTAATGCATTTAGGCATGTAGACATGTTCAAGATGACCCGCTGAAGTTCAAACTGAGCATCAGAATGGGAAAGAAAGCCGATTTAAGTGAATTTGGTTGTGGCATGGTTGTTGTTACATGGTGTCTGAGCATAGGGAGAAGAATCACAGCTCACAGTAATTTCTAATGTGAGCTTCAGTAGATTTTCTTAGTCTAAATGCTGCGATCAGCTGACTTGCTGCTCTTTGTGGATTTACACAACTGAGTTCAACAAGATGTCAGCAGCTTCACGAGCTATCCTGGCTGATTTCCATCTCACACACGGACACTGACACTATATATTTTTTATACTATCTTTATACTAGACAGTGCAAAGTTGGTATGAAGTTGGAATTCAGTGAATTAATCTGTAAAAGTGACATCATTTTAAATGCAGATTATTCTCTGCTACACTCTATGTAACCTAACTCTGACCATATGCACCAAAGCCACTGTGTGCCAGTCCAAAGTGGTTTGTTTTGCAGAAAAAAAGACATCACATACAGATCCAATATGTGATAACATTATGAGATTACATGTAAGCTTTAAATTTGCAGTTTATTAAGCATCACTGAGCAGTCCTTACCTTTTAATGTCTTCTTCCTTTCCTGTCATTTCTGACATCTTTCTTTATCTCTGAGTGAAGTTATCTCACATTCTTTGCTTTGGAGACCTGAAAGGACACTGGGTAAAAAATAAACACAGAAGCAACATGGGATTTTTTTTCTCCAGTGTCCTTTGTGGGTTTCCATACTTTTCACTTCCTGTGAAATATAGCAGTTGGGCCTTTAGCTATCAACACACTGTGCAACAAACTGCACTCAAACAGTTTGTGTGTTTGCTGATGTTTTTTGAGCTGATAGAAACATTGAACATTTGAAATTACCTCCCACTTAAAAAAGTCACTCCCTTCATGCTTCCTCCTTCCTGTATTAGTGATTAAGCCTGGTGGTGGTTTTATAGTATATGGGATATTTGGGCCCCTCAGTATCAACTGAGCATTGCTTAAATGTCACAGCCTACCTGAGTATTCCTGTCGATTATGTCCATCTTGTTATGACCACAGAGTACCCATTCACTGATCGCTGCCTCCAGCAGGATAGCGTGCAATGTCACAAAGCTCAGATCATTTCAAACTGGTTTCTTGAACATGAAAAGAAATTCACTGCAGTCAGATGACCTCCACAGACACCAGATCTCAATCCAATAAAGACCCTTTTAAGCACTTTGAGTGCTCAGGGAGAGTAGAAAAGCGCTATATAGGAATGAGTCCACTTACCTTTGGGATGTGGTAGAACAGGGGCCTCTCATTACGTATGTGCAGCCAACAAATCTGCAAAACTGTGTGATGCTGTCATGACAACATGGACTAAAATCTCTGACGAATGTTTCCAGCACCTTAATACATATATATATATGACCTGAATGAGTGTGAACCTACACAAAGATATATCACTTTAAAAACAACAACAAAAAAACATATATTATGCATCTTATTTTAAACAGCGTGACCAGATTGTTGTCATTTTTGTGAGCTGTATATTAGTAATACTTTCATGGGTTATATGTGGTTAAAACGACCCAAAGTTGGGCCAAATGTAAAAACTAGATCCTCACCCAAAACCAACTCTTTTGTTTCTAGTTGCACAAAGAAGACAAACATTCCTGACAATCGGAAATAGAAATCGAAAGCTTCTCTGTGTGTGTCTGTGTGTGTGTGTCTTCAACTATCTGTTCTGGCATACCATTGTTTCCCACTCTTGTGAAGTCCCTGGAAACAATGTGGTTTGTTTCACAAGTTAACCATTAAACATACCCGCTTTTGTTTTGTAATTATATCTATCTGGTGTTAAGCAGACTGCAATGCTGAAGCCACTGCTTTTATATAGCTTGATTATATGGTTGTGGGGAATCACACTTTTTTGTGCCTGGAGTGGTATGTTTTGGGGTTTTTCTGGAATTAGCACAAGAGTTTATATAGACACTATAGAGAGAGATTAATCAAGAAAAAAGGTCAGTGCAGTTGGATGATTGTTAGTGCAAACGGAGCACACAAACGACAGCCTGAACCTAATGAAACTTTAAATATCAGAACAATTTTCCTCCAACCTGTCTGGTCTTATTTTGCCGTATTTCCTTGTCTGTTAAGGGCTATAACTGTAACTTTTTCCAGGCTGTAATAAAAACGTATTTTCCTTTGATTTTGGGTCTGCACATTATGAATATTTTTCTTCCCCTAATACCTTTGAAAAGGCTGTTTAAACAGTGGATTTGCTTTCAACAATGCCTTCCAAAATCTATTAGAGCACACTGTGACATCCTGAAAGCCGATTCTGCTGAATGCACAGCGTTTCCTGGTCTCCCAACAATATACTTTGCAGTCTAACTGTTCCCAGCCCTTTTGCACTAACTGGAAAGTGTTTGGATCGTTACTGTCTGTGACAAGACACAAACATGTTCTACTTCATCTACTCCTCTGTTCCCCGCTATAACTCTGCCAGCCCACCTGGCCTTATTCCCAGATGTTTGGTTTCCAGCAATTAGATGTTTGAATGCTCACACAGTGCCCCACATCACTGCA